TGTCTTGAAGCTATGGTGTTTAGTAGGGTTAGGTGTGTAGATTAAATGCATTTTTGACTTACATTATTTACTACCTATGACAGGTTTATCAGCCGTGTAACCCCATCATAAGTCAAGGAGCATTTGTATTGAGCTTCTGTGTGGTAGGGAGCACCAAGATTTCTAGTGATCCCTGAGAATGATATCCGTGAATGAAGCTGAACTTGTCCAACTGAATATGATAGGATCAAACATGTGAAAGAGGAGAAGTATAATTAGCCATAGAAGATATCAAATGGCTTTATTGTACCTTATTTTTTCTCCTCTAATCCCTATTTGCTTCTCAGGAACCTTGAGTTCTAGATTTGAATCTTAGTTTCATCACTTATTAGCTGCTCAATATAAGCATGTCAAACAAATCATCTAATCCTCAATTTTCTTACCTGTGAAATATTTATGCCTTGTGTTGATAGTAAGTACATCAACAAATGTGTAGGAAAGCTTTTTTTCTAGTGCTAGCCCTTGAATTTAACTAGCTTTTCTAACTTGACTCAAATGGAGCTATTTAACCAGATCTCATCTTCTCTACACCTTGAAAATTAAATCCTGTTTTCTCCTACTCTTTCTTTCTTTCTTTCTTTCTTTTTTTTTTTTTGTATTGTATATTGAACTCAGAGGTACTTGACCATTGAGTTATATCCTGTTCCTCTTTTATTTTTTATTTTGGAACAGGCTTTCTCTAAATTGCTGACACCATCAATAAGTTTTTGAAGCTGGTCTCAGACTTGCTTTCCTCCTGCCTCCGTCTCTAAGACACTGCAGATTACAGGTGTATGCCACCATGCCCTGCTATCTTCCTGCTCTTGATAAAATATTTAGAAGCTCTTTGTAAAGTCAGTGTGAAACATAATTCCAGACTTCAAAAATCAAACTAAACATTATTAACAATTGGATGCAATACCTTCTTTGGAAATATGTTGCTGTGAAGTTTGGCCTGCTCCCCTTTCTCACTCATTATGATAGTTTGAGTAATTAAAAGTCAATTTTAAAAAACTTGTTACTCTTGCCAAAGAAATTTCAAAGAAACTCTGTGACCTACTATAGGATGACAGTTGCTTAAAACTAAAATGCAGCTTCTCCAGATGCAGGTTTACAAAAGCAGAAGCTCTGAGTTGAACTTCCTAAGCATTGGAAAACCCTTTGTCAAAGTTCCCCCCCCCCCTCACAGGCCTTTACTGCAGAGGCATTAATTAATTCAGTGTAGGATTAGGGAAGAGTAGGCAGATTCATGAATTATCCTCAATGTATAGTGTTTAATCAAAGGAATGACTTTTCTTGACTACTCATTAGATTCGCCATTTAAAGTATGTTTAATTTTACATTTTACCCAAAGGAGACAATTTTGAGTGGAAATGCCTTTGATCAAGGCATTAATGCAAAGTTTCTACTGGGATCAAGTTTAATGAAATTTCCTACTCCTTTTCCTTCATAAATAATAATTGCTCATTTGTTATTTAAACACTGCTAGCTTTTTCTATTCAGACTTAGTACCAGCCTGTGAAGCCAGACATGTAGCACTTTTGAGGGTCTTAAAATTCCGGCTCTTTATTTAGTAAACAAGGGAAATGGTTCTTTGTTCATGATCACGTGGGTCTGCATTGTCACAGAGCTATGTGGCAGCACTCACCCCTCCCAGGCAGGACTTTCTGTGGCCTCTCCCCTCCTCTTTCGCATCTTCCTTTCCAGCCTGGCTTCCGGTGGTCTCATCAAGCTTTCTGGATGTGCAAAGCTGTTTCAAGAGGAATTAGTCTTCTGCTTCATTGATGCATTATTCTATTAAAAGGAATTAATGACTGCTGTTGGATTAAATACTACCATGGTTTTCAGTGAGCAAGGTTCAGTGTTTTAAATTTAAGGATTGGTGGCCCTAATATGACCCCAACTGACATAAAATACTAGTTGTTAGTCCTTCAGGTAATTTGCAAAGACTGTCTTCTGTTTTGTTTCTTTGTTTCCTCCAGTGACAAGAACAGCTCTACTAATTCATTCTAAGGTACCACAAAAGAAAAAAAAAAAGATTCTATGTCTATTCCATTTTCAACATTTAAAAAAGCATTATTCCACCAGAAAACTTCTAGAACTAATAAATGAATTCAGCAAAGTAGCAGGATATAAAATTAACACCCATAAATCAAAGGCATTTCTGTGTATCAGTGACAAATCCTATTAAAGAGAAATGAGGAAAACTATCCCATTTATAATAGCCTCAAAAAATAAAATAAAATACTTGAGAATCAATTTAATGAAGGAGGTGAAAGACCTCTACAGTGAACAGTACAGAATGCTAAAGAAAAAAATTAAAGCAAACCTTAGAAGATGGAAAGATCCCCCTTGTTCTTGGATAGGCAGAATCAATACTGTCAAAATGACCACACACCAAATGCACTATACATATATTTTTTTTGTATTCTGCTACCTTTCCTATCCCCTATTATCCCCCATCCCCTTCCGTCACATCTTCTCTCTCTACCCCATCTACTGTAATTCATTTCTCTCCTTGTTTATTTTCCCATCCCCCTCACAACCTCTTTTATTTTGTATAGCAATGAGGGTCTCCCTTCATTTCCATGCAATTTCCCTTTTCTCTCCCTTTCCCTCCCATCTCATGTCTCTGCTTAATGTTAATCTTTTCTTCCTGCTCTTCCTCCCTGCTCTGTTCATAGTTGCTCTCATTATTTGTTTTTTAGGGATTGGCTAGCTTCACTAAGCATAATCTGCTCTAGTGCCATCCATTTCCCTGCAAATTCCATGATTTTGTCATTTTTAGTGCTGTGTAATATTCCATGGTGTATAAATGCCACATTTTTTTTATCCATTGCACTATACATATTTAATGGAATTTCAAAAAAAATCCCAATGACATTGTTCAAAGAAATATAAAAAGCAATCATGAAATTTATCTGGAAAAATAGGAGACCCAGAATAGCTAAAGCAATCCTTAGCTAGAAGTGTGAAGCAGGTGGCATCACTATATCAGACCTTAAAATATACTACAAAGAAATAGTAAAATATGGCATAGAATTGGCACCAAAATAGATTTGTAGACCAATGGTACAGAATAGATGACACAGAGACAAACCCATATAAATATAGTTATCTCATATTAGACAAAGGCACCAAACCCGTATATCGGTGAAACGACAGCCTCTTCAACAATTGGTACTGGGAAAACTGAAAATATATATGCAACAAATTGAGATTAAGCCCCTATCTCTCACCATGAACAAAACTCAACACAAAGTGAATCAAGGAACTAAGAATTAAACCGGAGACCCTGCCTAACAGAATAAAAAGTAGGCCCAAACCTGCATCATGTCAGATTAGGCCCCGACTTGCTTAATAAGAGTCCTATAGTGTAAGAATTAACATCAAGAATCAATAAATGGGATGGATTCAAACTAAAAAGCTTCTTCTCAGCAAAATATATAATCAATGAGCTGCATACAAATCATACAGAATGGGAGCTAAATTTTATCACACACACATCAGATAGAACACTAATCTCTAGGATATATAAAGAACTCAAAAATCTTAACAGCAAAAAAAACCCAAAAAACAAACCAAAAAAACCCCCAAAAAACAAAAAAAACAAACAGAAAACAAATAACCCAATCAATAAATAGGCCAAGGAACTGAACAGACACTTTTCAGAAGAGGATATACAATCAGTCAACAAATATATGAAAAAATGTTCAACATCTCTAGCAATTAGAGAAATAGAAATCAAAAGTACTCTAAGATTTCATCTCACTCCAGTCAGAATGGCAGCTATTAAGAAGATAAGCAACAATAAGTGTTGGCAAGGATGTGGGGATATAGATATATAGATAGATAGATATCTTAGACCAAATTCTAAATATGAAATTCATTTATTTTTCATATATACCTTATACACATAGCTGATACATAATTTCATACAATATTTTTAGTGCACCTATGTTTTGACAGGAACCTGTCACATGAGGACATGTGTGGAGTTTTCTATTTGTGATGCATATTGGTAGTCAAAAGTTTTTTATTTTGTAGCTGAAGTTTCAGACTCTGTATCTTTGGACAGGGAAGCTCAATTTGTAACACTTGAGTACCTGGAATATATTTTATTGAAAACAAACAAGATAAACCTACCATTTTAAGAAAAACAACTGAACACTTTTGTTACTAATGACAAATTTTGTGATTTCAAGTAAAATTTAGCATATTGAAACACTTGAATTTGCCTCTACAAACTTGGAAACTTTTCTGATAGGTTTGGAGATTATGTTAAATATGATTTTAAATATTGTATAATGAAGTGTGCCACCATTGGAAGACATGCATAATTCAGTAAAATGACATTTTCCAAATGGACATGGAGTGATATAACAAAATTTGGCATGAGTGAAAAAAACATACAAAATAAAAGACAAATGAATTTGAATGTAGTTGAGAATAAAAAGTTAATTAATTTCTCTTTACAACTAATCTTTAAGAAACTCTTGCCTGACTAACTTTAGTGCAATACTACAAAATAGCCATGATTATCTAAAAACACTATTAAGACAATCTTCCATTTTCAGATCACATATCTATGAGAAATTGAAGTTTCTTTATCCACTTTAAACAGTGTGTTACTATAGATTTGATGCACTAACCAATACAAAAATCTAGTGGTTAGATATCAGGAAAACTTCAAAAATATGCAGCGATGCCACTCTATGCATCAGTTGTTTGAAAATATAGTTATTTTTCATAAAAATCTTTCCAATATCTAAATGTCTGTGTTCTTGTTATTTTAACATCAAATTACAAAAAGTTGCTCATTTTACTTTTAATATTGGATAAACATAAACATAATCCACAATCAGAGATCTTTAGGTTTTCCTAAAACTTTTAAGAGTGGAAAGGGACCAAAAGTTTGAGAGCCACTGAGTGAAATCATTGATGCCAGTGTTCCTATAAAGCACTGGAGCAGAATGTTCAAGATGGCAGAAATAGAGGAGGCAGCTTTCCTAGATGCTCTGGATATGAAACTGAGAAAGTGGGTAAGACAGCTTCTCAGTAAGATGTGTGGGGAAAAAAGGGGTGGGGATGTAAATGGGAATTAATATTGGATATCAAAGCAGATCAGGGATCAGGAGCTTGGATATCAATAGAATAAGGAAGAAATCCCTACCCCTCACTGCTTCCAGCACCTGCCAGAGCAGTCCCTTCAAGGTAAAAGTGGAGGGATAGCAGAGTAAAGGCAGCCCACGTTTTTAGGAGGCCTGTGGTATGTAGTAGTATGGAAAGATCAGAGATCAAAGACACTGCCAGACTGACCCAGAAGATGTGCTGCACAATACACTAATTGGGATAGGAGCTGAGACTCTCCCAATTGCCTTTGAAGAACAGAGGAAGGAGCCATCCTTCAGCTGCAGGGCAGGGGCCAGCAGGTCTGGGTGCCAAGTCCTGCCAAACCTGAGGTGGATCCAGAAACAAACCCATGTTACATATCATAGAGTGTGTGCTGATTTAAAGTCTTCAGACTAATCACCATTCAGTAAAGAATGTAGAGCCTCCCTAGGTTCAACCCTGCTGTCAGGAGCTCAGACTATGGGGGCTACTCTCACAGAACCTGAATGTGAAGCAGGCATCACCCTCTGGCCCACTCTACCTGACACAGCCAAGAATGGAAGCTGAGAATTTCTAAACCCCAACTGGCAATTTGCTGAGCAACTCAGAAAGAGAGAATTTGATAACCTGTGGCCAATACTGTCATAGACATTACATACCTCAAGAAGAAACAGAAAGAAAGACATTTGGAAATAGACAAAAAAATATATATTCTCTAGAAAATTTTTGACCACTTTAACAGAAAAAAATATTTTTAACGTTTCACTGATAACTTATTTTTTTTCCTGTTTAATTGTGAGCTGAGCTGAATGGTTTATGGACTCTTATACATGTTTGTCTCTTTTTCTTATTTCTAGCATTTTTAAAGGCAGTTATTTTTCATGAGTCAGTCTTTTGAGGGTTAAGATGTTTGATTAGTATATTTTTATTTTGTTTTGTTTTTTTCCTCTCACTTAGCTGTTTTCCTTAATTCTCTTTTTCTTCTGCTAACAGCCACACTATATTGTTCTCTCTTTCATGCTTCCTTTAATTTTTTACTTTTATTTTCACACCTACTCCCTCATAATCATCAAATCCTATATCTCTTTTATTCTCACCCTGTTCACCTTTTGAAATTGCACACCCTTTTGCAAACTTACTGTTTTTAACATTGGAAAAGCTGATCACATAATTTCTGTTTATTGGGACAATTAACATTATAAGTGTCATAGTAGGAACTATTTGCTTTAATGCTGTACATAATTTGCATTGGTTGCTGCTATTACTTGTCCTTCCCTAAACTGTGAGGTAGTGGAAAGCTTCAGGGACACTGTGAGTTCACAGGGTAGAAACTCTACTGCCTCAGATCCATACTGTCATATGGGTAGACACACAAACAACATGAAAAAATTGGTGGAACAGACTACTGCAGACAAACAAAATACCTCAGAAATTTAGAAAGTTAATAGTGAAACTGATTTGAAAGGTAAAAGATGATATAGGGAGTGGAATCAGAGTGAAAATACATGAAGTAAAAGATTAATTCCAATAAAGAGAAAGAAATTCTAAAAAAAGGAAATTTTTCAAATAAAGGAATCAATAAACCATATTAAAAGTTCATTGTAAAGCATCACCAGAAGACTAGAGCACTTGAAAAATTTAATTTCAGCCAATGAAAACAAAACGTATAATCTTGAAGACAAAGTTGACTGTGGAGAAAAGATTTAAGAGACCATGAACAGAGATTTCAAGAAATATGGGATAAAATTAAACGTCCAAAATTAAGATTTATTGGGATAGGTAAAAGCTCAGAATTACAATCCAAAGAAATACACAATATTTTCAATAAAATAATATCAGAAAATTTCCTAAACCTTAAGAATGAAATGTAAAATCAGGAGGCTAACAGGACCTCAAATATACAAAACTACAACTGACCCACACCAAGGCACGTTATTATAAAATGCCCAACATACAGAATAGGAATAGTATTTTAAAGGCTGTCATAGAAAATCAACAGGTCACATTGAGAGGGAAATCAGTGCAGATCTCAGCACATTTCACAACCCAGACCCTAAAAGACAGGGGGTCTTAGAATAATATGCACCAAGCTCTGAAAGAAAATGGATGCTAACCAAGAATACTATTCCCAACAAAACTAAGCTTCAGATTTGACAATAAAATAAAAATTTCTCATGATATACAAAAGGTAAAAGAATTCCCAGATAGAAAGCCTGCTCTAAAATACATAGTCAATAAACTATTTCATGAAGAAGAAATGAAAGATAAAATTAAAAACTGGTAAAGTGAGGAACTATACTAGAACAATAGTCAATCAGGAGAGAAATGAATACAAATTAAACACCAGAAATAAATGAAAATAACAGGGAATAAAAATCATTTCTCAATATTAATATTGAATACAAATTATACATGTTTGTCTCTTTTTCTTATTTCTAGCATTTTTAAAGGCAGTTATTTTTTATGGGTCAGTCAAAAGATAGAGATTGGCAGAATATATTTTAAAAAGACCTAATCATATGTTGTCTCCAGGAGACTCACCTCATAGGCAAAGGCATCTACAGAATGAGGGTAAAAGATGGGAAAAAATTATATCACTTATGTGGATTTCATAAACAAGTAGAGGTTTCCATCCCCATAGCAGATAAAGTGGACTTCAAGCCAAAGTTACACAGAAGGAAAAAATAAGGACATTTTTACTGCTTAAGAGAATCAAACAACAAGAAATAACAATCAAATATTTATGCTTCAAACAATGGAGCACCTATGTATATTAAAGAAACACTTCTGGAGGAGGGGGAATTAGAAAGACCCCATAAAGATTCAAGGAGTTATAGAAGCACAGAAGCCTGGAAACTGTGTCACTGTCTGACACTGCTAGGATTCAGAACTCCCTGCCAATTGTCCAGCTCTGGATCCTTCCATGCAGACTCCAGAGGATGAGCAGTGGACCCCACCCACACTCCAGGAGCTGGCAGGGTGCAGCCTCCTGAAGGACAAGTACAGGGCCATCCTAGCTCTGGAGGACCTGCCCATAAAGCTCTTCCCACCACTCTTCATGGAGGCCTTCAGCGGGGGACACACTGAGGTCCTGAAGAAAATGGTGCAGGCCTGGCCCTTCACCTGCCTGCTCCTGGGGGCCCTGATGAATATGCTACAGCTGGGGATGATCCGAGTGGCACTGGATGGGCTGGACATGCTGGCTGCCCAGCAGGATTGCCCCAGGAGGTGGAAACTGCAGGTGCTGGATTTGCAGAAGGTTCATGGTGTCAGGGGCAAGAAGGAAGTTCTCCTTCAAAGAATAGCCAAATTGGAGCTCTGGATATCAGCTGTTATGGATTTCAGTCAAATCATCTTCTTTTTGGTCTTTAGAAATCGCTTTGGTTAGTCTCTCTGGAATCCAAATTGGCTGCTGTTCTCCCTGTGGAAACACACAAACAGAACCCTGACTCCAGACAATCACTGGGTTAGGACCTTTCCATTGTCCTGTTAGAATATCTTTCCAAAGTACCTTAGGCTTATGTACATTTTTTTGGATAATATGTCTTTCCGCAGCACTAAGTCCTGATGAATCCAAATTTAAAAAGTTTAGAGTAAAAAGGGTTATTTTAAGTTTATCTTTAGGGGATATATACCCCTTTCCAATTCCCCCTTTTTGCTTTAATAAGTACATTTTAATAGTTTGACAAGCGCTTTCAACTATACCTTGTCCCTGTGGATTGTGTGGGATTGCTGTTAAGTAAAACATTAACTGATTTTTCTTTAGGGATGATGTTCCAAAATATCCTATATGCATCCTTTGGAAATTTAAAGATCCTTTTAAATTCAAGTCTTCCAAAAGCATTTTGCCTTAGTTTTTAGAATTACTTTAGTACTTTTAATTTTTTGATGTGGTTTTAAACCAATTTCCTTCTAGTTTAATGTTTTCTAAATTGGCTCTTGTCTATAAATTTTAACACCCTCATCTGAGACTTCTAATTTCTGCACCACCAGAAATTAAAGTTGATGGGATTTTTGAAAAAAATTACTAATAATCTCCTTGTTCTTCTATTTTATCCAATATTTGACTTTAAACTTCTCTCTTCTACCTTTTTCTATTTTGAATGTCTGTATCTAATAGTTATCTTAGCTTTTTGCATTTTCTATCTGAAATACCTTTACTTGACATTTTCAACCATTTTCTATCTTATTTCTATCTTCTAGTTTTTTTTTTAAGGTTTATACATTCACCCTTGGTTGCTTTTTTTTTTTCTCCTAGTTTTATTTCCTATTTTGTGGGTTTAAAATTCTTGTCTTCCTACATCTTCTCTATCTTCCTACATCTTTTCTATCTTCTTACATCTTCTCTATCTTTTTTTACCTTTCTGTACTTCTGTCTTTAAAGTTTTCCACTTTAAATTTTTAATCTTCTTTATCCAAATATCTTTTATCCTATTATCTTCCCATTTTCATGTTTTTTTTTTAAGTAATGCTTTTAAGATTAACTAGGCTTCGAATGACACAATCTTTCAGACGTCTTGAAGGCATCTTAAGGTACCATTGTCAAAGGGTGAACTTTTAATAATTTCATTAATTAAGTTCCAGTAAGAAAAGGTGGGAACAGGCACCTTTTCTGGGCCAAAGGATTCATAATAATCTTTTAAACAGTCTCCTACTCTAAGCCATCTTTTACCATCAATGGTCCCTTCAAGGGGAAACCACGGACACAATTCTCTTATGTATGCAAAGAATAATTTTAAGTCCTTTTTCTTAACACGCCCCCCCCCCCCCCCGTGTCTTGAGGGCCTCCTTGAGGCCTGACAAAAACAAATCATGTGACGAGACTGCTTGTCCCATGGTGGGTCACTCACCGTGCATCATCCCCACTCTCCTCCTGGATCTGTCTCTCGGTCATGTCTGCGGAGGCAATCGCGAGCTCTGCTTGGCCAAGTCTCCCCAGAGGACGGCGTTCCCCCTCAGTCAAAGGCTCGAGCACACGTTGGGTGCCAAATGTCCCGACTGGCTGGACATCAACGAGGGTGGTGAACCTAGGCAGGGAGGAATGAAAGGAAAAGAGACACAAGGGATGACAGCAAGACAGGAGCTCTGATCAAGCTGCAAATTTTTATTGTTCACACAGAGGTATTTATATGCTGGGGATGGGGAAGCTCTCTTATCGGCAGTTGCAGGATGTCTGCACGAGGTGAGATAACCTCACAATGTTTCAGGAAGACAGATGGCTGCAGGATGTCTCCCAGGCAGGATATCTCCCAGGGGGCTGTTTCTTGTAAGTGTCAGGCTATTCTTTGAAGGGGAACTTCCTTCTAGCCCCTGACACATGGGAACTTCTGGAGGACGTGGTCTGGAGCCATGGTCGATGCCTGCTCACCAGGAGTCATGAAGGAGAGGCAAACAGTGAAGGCCTCTCCAGACACAGGGCCCACTCTGCCCTTGAAGGTGTTAGTAAACCTGTGCTTCCAGCAAAGACCCCTGAATGCATTCCTCTTCTTCCTCTTTCACTGGGTGGATGAGAGGAAGGGTCTGATACAGCTGTGCTGCAACAAGCTGCAGATGTGCCCTTTGCCTTTCCGTACCATTGACAGGATCTTGGAGAGGTTGGATCTGGACTTTATCCAGCAGTTGGATGTGCAGTGTTGCTAGAGACTGTCCACCTTGGCTACTTTTGCTACCTATTGGGGCCAGATGAGCAACCTGAGGAAGCACTTCTTCTCCCACGTCTATGTGTCTGCCTATGCTTCCCAGAAGGAGAGAGATCAGTTGATGAATGACATTACCTCACAGTTTGCCAAGATGGACAGCCTCCGGGGGCTGTACCTGGATGGTGTCTTCCTCCTAGATGGCCGTCTGTGCCAGGTGCTCAGGCTCCTGAAGACCCTCCTGGAGATCCTCTCAATAACCAACTGCCAGTTCTCAGATCCAGACTGGAATGATCTGTCAGGTTCTCCAAACCTCGACCAGCTAATACACCTGACGTTGTGGGACAGCAAATTGACGAGTTTCAGTCCTGAGCCCCTCGTACTTCTGCTAGAGAATGCTGCAGCCACCCTTGAGACCCTAAACTTGCAGGACTGTGGGATCACCAACTCCCAGCTCCAGGCCATCCTACCTGTCCTGAGCTGCTGCTCCCAGCTCAGGGTCTTGAGCTTCAATGGGAATGACATCTCCATGTCGGTCCTGAGCAACCTGCTGCTTCACACTTCCAGGCTGACCTGGTTGAGCCTAGATAAGTACCCTGCCCCTCTGGAGAGCTATGATGCCCAGGGTGCCATCCACCCAGGGAGACTTTTCCAACTCATGGATGAGCTGATGGAGATACTGAGGGATGTGAGAGAGCCAAAGAACGTCCTTTTCTATACTAAACCCTGCCATAGGTGTGGCAACTGGTTTATCTATAACCTGCCCTCCAGTCCGTGTCTCTGTTGGCTGCCTGCATAGTGGGATGCATGTATAAGAAATGTTCTCCTGTGCACTTGAAAATAAAGATAAGACACGAGTGTCTCAAAAAAAAAAAAGGAAAGAAAAGAAAAAAAACACATCTCAATTTCAAGAACCAAATAGACCACAACACAATAACACTGGATGACTTTAACTTGCCTCTGACCTTACTGAATAAATTGTCCAAACAAATTCTGAATAGAGAATCTATGGAAATAAAGAATGCAACTAATAATTTAGATTTAGTTGACATATATAAAATATTCCATCCATCAATGACAGAATACACTTTCTTCTCAACTACACATGAATCATTTCCTAAAATGGACCATAACTTAGACTAGAAAGCAACTCTTAGCAAATACAAAAAGAAAAAAAAAGAGATACTATCTTGCATTCTATCATAGTGGAACAAAATTAGAAATCAAGGATAAATAAAAAATAGAAGCTATACTATAAAGTAGACACTAAATAATATGCAACTGAATGACCAAAGAATAACAGAAGAAATTAGGGGTGAAATAAAAAAAAAATTCTTACAGGAATTGAGAATAGCAATCCAACATATCAAAATCTTTGGGACACAATGAAGGTGGTTTGAAGAGAAAAGTTTATTGCATTGACCATATTTATTAAAAGAATAGACAATCACCAAATAAAAAAACTTAACATTACATCTAAGGCCCTGGAAAAAGAAGAACAAAATGACACCAAAAGAAATAGAAGACAGGAAGAAATTAAAATTGGAAATGAAATCCATGAAATTGGAATAAAAAACTCAAAAAAATAACAAAACAATATGTTGTTTCTTAAAAAAATAAATAAAACTGATAAAGCCATAGTCAAGCTAGCCAAGAGAAAGAGGGAAAAACTGAAAATATTGAAATTTGTGATTAAAAAGGAATTATCACCACAGACACTATTGGAATACAGATGATAATCAGAAACTATTTTGAAAATTTATACTCCAGTAAAATTGAAATTTGTAAAGACATTGACAAATTTCTGCAGACACATGAATTGAATTAGGATATAGAATACTTAAACAGACCCATTTCAAGCAATGAAAATAAAAATTTCATCAAAATTCTACCAAAAGGAAAAGCCCTGGACCAAATGGATTCTCAGCCAAGTTCTACTACACCATTAAAGAAGAAGTAACATCAATATTCCTCAAATTATTCCATGAAATGGAAAAGGAGGAAACCCTTCCAAACTCATTCTATTAAGTCACTATCACCCTGATACCAAAACCAGACAAAGACACATCAAGGAAGAAAAACTACAGACCAATATTCTTGATGAACATAGATGAAAAAATTCTTAATAAAACAGTAAAAAATCACATGCAAAAACATATTAAAATGCTAGTGTACCATTATTAAGTGGGGTTCATCCCAGGAATGTAAGGTTGGTTCAATGTACATAAATCAAAAAACACAATTCACCACATCAATAGACTTAAAGATAAGAATCACACGATTATCTTAATAGATGCAGAAAAAGCATTTGACAAAACACAGCATCCATTAATATTCAAAACACGGGAAAAACTAGGGATAGTAGGAAAACACCTCAACACTGGAAACACTCTATGGGTTAAACTGAAGGCAAACATTATTCTAAATGAAGAAAAATTGAAAGCATTCCCTCCAAAAACTGGAATAAGACAGGGATGCATAATCTTTGAAACTCTAGCCTGAGAAATTAGGAAAAATAAATAAATTAAAGAATTATGAAAAGGAAAAGGAAACCTCAAACTCTCCTGAATTGCCAACAACATTATTCTGTATTTGGAAACCCAAAAAAACTTCACCAGAAAACTTCTAGAACTCCTAAACAAATATAGCAAAGTAGCAGAATACAAAATTAACGTCCATAAATTAATTACATTCCTATATAACAATGAAGAATCAGCTGAAAGAAAAATTAATGAAACTATCCCATTCACAATTGCCTCAAAAAAACAAACAAAAGAGACCTAGGAATCAATCAAACAAACAGGCAAAAGACCTCTACAATGTAAACTATATAACAGTAAAGAAAGAAACTCAAGAAGAGCTTAGAAGATGGAAAGATCTAATGTAATTCCTATTAAAATTCCAATCATGTTCTTTATAGAAATAGAAAAAGCAGTCATGAAATTCATTTGGAAAAAGAAGAGCCCCAGCATAGACAAAGAAAGCATTCTTTAGTGAGAAAAGTAAAGCAGGGGGCATCACAATACCAGACTTTAGATTATACTACAGAGCTATAATAAAAACATCATGGTACTAGCACTAAAGCAGACGTAACTACCAATAGAAGAGAATAGAAGATAGAGAGAAAAACCCACATAAATATAGTTATCTCATACTAGACAAAAGTTCCATAAACATGCATTGGAGAAAAGACAGCCTCTTCTACAATATGGTGCTGAGAAAACTAGAAACTCATATTATTACTCCAGAGAAATTTATCCTCCATTTCTCACAATGCACAAAACTCAAGTCAAAGTGGATCAAGGACTTAGATATCAGACAATAGACCCTGTGCCCACTAGAAGAAAATGTAGACTGAAAACCCATCATATCAGCTTTGGAACTGACTTCCTCAACAAGACTCCTAAAGTGCAAGAAGTAAAATCTTGATTCTTGAATCAACAAATGGGATATTATCAAACTAAAAACTTCTTCATAGAAAAGAAAAAATTCAAGAGTATGAAAAGAGAGACTACAGAATGGGAGAAAATATTTGCCACCTGTACCTCAGAACATTAATCTCCAGGATTAAAAACAAGCAAACAATGGGCTGGGGATGTGGCTCAGCGGTAACGCACTTGCCTGGCATGTGTGCGGCCCGGGTTCGATCCTCAGCACCACATACCAACAAAGATGTTGTGTCCACCGAGAACTAAAAAATAAATATTAAAAATCCTCTCTCTCTCTCTTCTCTCTCACTCTCTCTTTAAAAAAAAAACAAGCAAACAAAAAACCTCAAAAAACTTAACTTAAAAAAAAAACCCAACAAATATATGGACAAATGAACTGAATATGCCCTTCACAGAAGAAGAAATATGAATAGTTAACAAACATATGAAAAAACGTTCAACATCTCTAACATTTTGAGAAATGGAAATTAAACTACTCTGAGATCTCGTTTCACTCCAATCAGAATGGCAACAATCAAGAATACAAGTAACAATAAATATTGGCGAGGATATTGAGAAAAGGGTATACTCATAAAGCTGGTGGGATTGTAAATTGATGTAATCACTCTGGAAAGCAGTGTGGAGATTATTCAAAAAAACTTGGAGTGAAATCACCATTTGACTTGGTTATTCCACTCCTTGTTATATATCCAAAGGAGTTAAAATCAACATACTACAATGATGCAGCCACATCAATGTTTATAGAGCTCAGTTCACAACAGCTAAGTTATGGAACCAACAAAGGTGCCATTCAACAGATGAATGGATAAAGAAAACATGGTATACATACACAATGAAATACTACTCATAAAAAAGAATGGCTAGGACATTTGTCAGTAAATGGATGCATCTAGAAACTATCAGACTAAGTGAAATAAGCCAATCTCCCCAAACCAAAGGTTGAATGTTTTCTCTAATATGTGGATGCTAACACACAACACAGAATGTTAGGAGAAGAAGAACAGAAGTTTAGTGGATTAGACAAAGGGGAATAAAGGGAATGGAGTGGGGAACAGTTATAGGAAAGAAAGAGTAATGAATCTGACACAACTTTCCTATGAACATATATCAACACAATGCAATGAATTTCCACATCATGTATAACCATAAGCCTGAGAACCTAAATAGAATAAAATGTACTCCAACTTTGTATAAATACGTCAAAATACACTCTGCTGTCATGTATATCTACAAAGAACAAATAAAAATAACTTCATGGTGCATTTTTTTTAGCGTTGTGCTTTTTAAATATAAAGTAAAATCAACAAAACAACCACAAACATTGGAACACAGACTTCTATCTCCCTGTGGTAAATTTGCTTCTTTAAAGCATGCTAATTTTTCTAAAAATTAAATTTTTGTTATGTCACCTATGTCACTCAGGCTTGGAGCAGAAATGAATATACACTTTTTCAAAGCTGTATATAAGTCAAAAGTTGGTAGATCTTTCTTTTTCTCAGCTGTATTTATAAGTTGTAAAGGAAATAATGTGCTTTCCTTACTTTCCATTTTTTTTATATACAGAATCAGTAAGCACATGCAAAATTAAAGAGATTAATACAATAAACTATCGTGGGCTTATGATATTTAATCAATATTTTGCCATTCTTGTTTCAATTCCCATCTCTTCAATCCTTTTTCTTACTAGAATAATTGAAAGTAAACTCCAGATACCTTGTCTTTACTTATAAATTCTTCAATTTTCCATACAGACAAAAGGATTTTAAATAATATAAACATATTTTGGTTCAGCAAAAGTAAGAATTATTCTTTAAATTTATGTGATGGCCAATCTGTATTCACAAAATTCATTAGTTTGAAAATGTCTTTGTAGTTTATTTGCCAATAAGAGGACATAGGTGTTTCCACGCATTGTGTATAGATTATATATCCTTAATTTGTTACAGTTGTATTCTGCTATTTAAGATATCAATTACTTATTGAAGAAAATCATCAATTTTCATGTAGAATTTGTTTATTATGCAGTTTGCTAATGGTGACCTTGTGGTGTTCTCTCTAATTTATTTCATGTGAACTTGATAGATATAGAAATCTTGATTAAATTGATGGTTAAAGCATTTTTGGAGGGGGAAAATGCACAAATAATTCAAATGTGGAGCTATGGATTTGTTACTGCATTAATACAAGAGGGAATATTGCTTTTAGTAATATAAAGATTGATTCATATGTTCTGCTATTATAAGCCTTGTAAACTCATTTATGTTTCCAAGCAATTTTTGTAAACATTTTTGGCAATATTGATAACTATTGCATACTTAAGCAATGTCATTAGAATTTTCAAATTGATGAT